GAATACCGCCATGACTTTTAGTGGGTGCATTTAAACATTATTTTGGGCTATACTCGTCTTACATGACGAGTGTAGCCCAAAACCTATATTTTAACACAAAAAGTAGGGGGTCGTCTTATACGCCGAGTCGTCTTATACGCCAGCAAATGCGGTACCTTATTTTTAAAAAAAATAGTACATTTTCTCAGTTTAAACATTTGATGTTTTCTATTTTCTATTGTGAATACAATATAGGTTTATGAGATTTGAAGATCACTGCTTTCTGTTTTTACGTAGATTTACACAACGTCCTAACTTTTTGGAATTGGGGTTGATGTCATCATACCCTTGAGCACTTAGAATTAGGCCTGAAACAAGTTTATCAATAAAAGTCATGAAACAATTTAATTAAGCAAGCACCAAGCTTGGGTTTTGACAAAACATGTACTGTATTTCAAGTGACAATAGAGACTTTAAGCGCCACATGCCTGCACACATGTGCTGGACCTGCTTTCCTCTTGTCTCTCAGTCAAATAAGCAAGAACACCAATTATCTTTTTATGGGTTTTTTTTTTTTTCAATAAAACCACCATTCTTCCCACTGACCATCATGGTAAGGGACTTTCTTCCCCTTGAAAATCAATGTAAAGAGGCACTGATCATTAATATAAGAGCAACTCTTCCCACCGACCAAGAAAGTAAAAGCATTATTTTAGTGGCCATCAGTGTAAGAGGGCCCTTCTCGTACTGACCACCAATACAATGGGACCCGTCTCCACTAACCACCTATGAATTAGGCCACTCTTACCAATGTAAGCGAGCATCACACTGACTGCCAATATAAGGGGGCCTACACTGACCACCAATGTAAAGGGGTTTCTAGAAAATGTTATATTGTTACAAAATGATATACTCTGGGTGTGATAAATGCTAAGTATGCATAATTCTTTAAGTTATATTTGCAACTTACTGATGCTATTATACCATGAGCTGCAGATGTAATCATTTTTACAAGGGATTCCTGGAGACCTGAAAGTTATTTTGAAGGTTTCTCCTTGTTAAAAAAGATTGAGAACGGTTGATTTAGAATATTTGTTGTACATACTACAATGGGGTTGACAGGTTCATAGATGTAATACAGACTGCATCACCTTTACCTACAAATGTAACACAGGTGTGTGCCCTAACAGGTAAAACTGTGACACAGATAAATGTCTATAATACGCTTTTATAAATTAGTAACTTTAATATGCACATAATAACACATTGCTGAATTAAGAACAGAACCTTGCTACTGTGTGGTGGAAATTGCCCTGCAGAAAAGAAACTTCATTTTAAAGGTTAATAAGTGATTTCTGTTGCACTGATCATTACCATGCTAAAAAACACTGAGGCATTAACCTGAAATAGTATACCCTTTTCAAGAGTATGTATGTTCTCCGAAAATAAACCAGAGGTCTCTTAATATGGTAACAGAAAGATTTCAGAACAATTTAAATTCTTTCCCCTTAGGTCTAAAATGGTTTGGTTTCTCTTACACACCAACAGGCCAATGCATTCTCCCAGTTGATCTTTCCTTAGATGGTAGGATTTGCCACATCCAAATAAATGGATTGTAAATTGTTTGATAACCTGTGCCACTGTCATTGTTATGGTGAACCTGTGCCTAGACTATGCACACTAAAGTAATACAAATTCTGCATGTGCAGTAAAAGCACATTAAAACAAGCCCTTAGTTTTTTTGAATCGGATAAAAGCAATTAAATAAAACCATCCCTAATTTAAAATAAAATACACAAATGCAGTGTTACAAAGTTTACTCCAGAATAAAACTGCATGCACAATTGTTTTACAATCACACTGCACTGGAACGCACGGCATTGCGGTACTGTGTGTGCCAGTGTGGGCGATCACACTCTGGGTGGGAGGCGGCTTTGGGGTGCCACTGAAATGAATGGCACTGCAACACACCTCCCGCAGTAGAATCTGTCAGGCCAAAACCGAAAATTGCTTTTTTCCCACATTTTATATATATTTTTTAATAACTGTATTGTAAAAGTTTCAGCCAGGTAATGACAACTGGGAAAGATTCCACAGACGGCAGCTGAATGTAAATACAGCGAGTCATGGGCTGGTGCAATAGTCAGCCTGCTATGGGCCATTTCAAATTGCAATAGCAGGCTGGCTATTGCACCCATCCACTACTTGCTGTGCCCTCTGCCCAGCATAGAGAAGAGAGCTAGGGGAATCAAACCAACTAATTGATGAGAATAGTTGACAACTACTCTCATTCCTGATTAGTTGGTTGCAGCCCTAAAATGAATCTTCAAGTTTTGCAACAGAGGCACTGAAAACAAATTAAAACTTAGCAGCCTGCCAGTCTTCTAAAGTAAACACACAGCAGGTGCCCAACATATGGCCTGCCAGGCCTCGGATTGCGGCCTGCCGTGTCCTGAGATGGGTCAGCCACCTGTCGGGCACCTGCAGAAGAGCTGTGGCAGGGGGCCGGGTACTGAAACACTTTCTGAGCTTCTGAACCCAGCATTAGAAGACACAGTACTGTCAGGCAGAGTGACCTCTGCCCAGTAGTGCAAGTAAAATTGCTGCGGGAAAGGTGGAAAGAGAAAATGGAATGGGGGCATGTGATCAGTTAAGGTTAAATTTAGCTTTCCCTGACACTGCACTGGGGTTTTAAAAGAAAATACTGCACTGACCACCATGGATGTGTGCATTGCAGTACATTGCAAAAAATGCAGCAGGACCACATTTTTCAGGTGCATTACAGCCCAGTCATTTTAATTGGATGCCTAACTCAACACAATCCACCTCAATGCACAAAAACATGCTGCTATTGGCACTATAGAAGTGTTGGGAGCCGCACCTAAGGCCGTCTATAATTTTGTGTTTGTTAGAAACTGACTGAAACCCAAGTTTAGAGTCTCTGATGCTATATTTTAAGATTTTTGAGAATTAAATATGTCAAAGTACAAGCAGCTTGAGCGATGAATGTATAAATGTAATGTATAGAATGTCTAAATTTGTGAAAGGGTTGTTAAACCCTCATGTGTTTTTGCATATATCTACTGCTAGCAAAAAAAAAACTTTTAAAAAGGGTTAATACTTACCTGTGTCTCCTCCACGCTCTCCCGTCCAACCATCTGAAGAGTCTGCCCATTCAGGAATTAAATAGGAACTCCAGAAAAAACTTGTATTAACCCTTGCAGTGGGGCTACCCCCGCAATGCAAGGGTTAACAGCTTGTTTTTGTCTAGGTCAAAAAACCTGAATCGGGGAGCTGGCTTGTTCTTAGATCGGTTCTTCCAGCCTCTCTCCTCTGCAGCGGTCTAAGATCCTGTAAATCATCACTTTCTGTACACTGTGTATAGATGTGAGGATGCGGGGGAACATTCCATTGAAGGTTAACATTTAATTTACCCAATTTTTATCTTTCCCTTCAGATTGGTCATGCCTTTGCAGCTCATTTTGGCATGATGGTGTTCTTGTTACATGCCTTGCCACTTGAATGGTTAATGAGGGGAGACTCTTTAGAAAAACCTCAATCCAAGGTTTATAGGGCAGTGAAGGGTGAATGCTCCAGATTTAGACAAGAAGGACATGGCAGATACCTGGAAATACCCATTAACCCACATTATTTCTGCTAGGGATAGAATTATTCCGTTTAAGTTCTTACATAGGATATACTACACTCCATCCAAATTAGCTGCTATTTATTGTGTTAGTTTCTCTACATGCTGCAGATGTCTGACTTCTCTATAGACTTTATACATATTTTTTGGGAGTACCCTCAGATCAAAAACTTCTGGATTGAGTCCACCCAGTTTGTCTCCTAGTGTATGCTCTTGAAGTCCTGCCTGAGATACTGGTCATCTTCTGGGCCTTACTGAGCAAATAGCTTCTACAACAGCTTATAGAACCTAATTTGGGAATTCTATTGTTCTATGCTAGGAAAGCTATTATACTTAACTAGAAAAAGCATAAGCCCCCAACATAGGGCTCTTGAAAGGGTTTGATAAATTCATTGATCCATCTAGATAAGGCTGTTTACACTTGAAGAGCGTGCCCCTGGCTCGTGCCATTGGGCAAAGTGATATTTGTTTGGCTTTTGTTACTTTGTATTTTTTTATTGAAAAACGTAAAGCTTTAAAAAGAAAAAGAACAGGTGGAATGTTATTTGTTGGGAATAGAAACCCTTAAGTAGATATTTATTTATTTTTCTTGCACCATATAAAGATGTACCTTGTTAAAATTTCCATGTAATAACAGCTCCCATTTAAATCTTTGCCGCAAGGGTCAATCTAGGTTTTCACCCTAAATACTCCGAGTGGTTCCTAATGTGTGTTATTTTTACCATTTGTGGTACTCACCCTCAGTTGTATGTGGGATTGATTTCTTTTGTTCAACCTCCTATGAAAAAGTCAATTGAATATTAGTCAGCACCCAAAATTTGAGCTGTGTATGGCCAGCTTTAAGATTTCTGGATGAGGACGAATATGATCACTGACTGATATGTCAGCTACTCGTGGCAGACACCACACGGTACATGGAGAAGCAGTTTATATAGGCTTGTATTCTTTATAAAGGTGATTGTGCCTTCATTTGTGCCTGGCAGTGCAGGCAGCGGAACATATAGTAATTTTTATTAGTCAGAGGCTCTGAGGCACTGCAAAGTTTGGAATCACTGCATTAGAAAAGTACAATTATATGTGACATATAGGAAACCAAATGTGAAGAAATGTACTTATAACAAAAGTGAAAGGAAATGTTATAGATGGAAAGAGAAAAAATTCTAAAATAGTGCAGCCAGCAAAATAAAATCTTTAAATGCAATACATTTGCAGTGTTGTACAGTTAAATATATGCATATTCTTTTAGGTTGTAAAATATTAACACAAATCTAGGAAGTATGCTCTAGCTATTTTTATGGCCAGTTTGGGTAGTCATACCTCTGGGCATAAAGAGTCTGAAGCTTTATGGGAAAAAAAGTCAAACCAATTTTCTCACCTCTCCTTGCTCCTGACTTTGTCCATGGATTTTTATAGGTGCCAACGGAGGCCACAGACTATCAATCAAGCTGAAGAGTCCCGGAGCCCTGCAAATATCCGTAGATATTATTTCACAGCACATTTTACACAAGAAAATTATAGTTGTCCATAGACATTCAGAGGATGCTCAGATGTAACAGCAAGATCCAATGGTCCAGGAGTTCACATTCATGCAGTGGAATAGGTTAACAGAAGGCACCTGCAAACATTGCTGTCACTGGGTTTTCTGAAGAAAACCATGGCAGTTTGATATGATTATCTTGCATCTGTATGATCACTGTTTTCGCCAAGATCCATCAGACAGCAATGTATTTGGGTGTCGGGTAATATAATAAAAAGGTTGCAAGGGGTAACAGTCATCTTCTGTCTATAGCCATCTTATCGAACAGGAAATATTCACATTTGTTCAGGTACACTTTTTATTAAAAAGATGTCTATAAAGAGGAGACTTCAATAACTCAATGTCCACTGCTGAATACGGAAATTGAACAGGCATAATCCTTTGAAGATGAAAAAATATATTTTTGTGTCATAATAAAAAATAAGTATGTTGTGTAAAAATCTAATTTAAATCCATTTTAATTCTCCATTGTAATGCTACAAAATGTAGAAAAGTCTATGGAACTAAATACGAATGCAAACCATGTTTTCGTGTTTCAGGACAGTATGCAGGAAATAGTTTGTCTTAGAGAGCTGTCTTGTCATAAAGAGCTGCTGAACAGGTAAGAAAGTCCTAAGTGTAAGCCAACAAAACTACGGCCATTAGAGAAATACATATGCTGCCTTTGCTGATCTCCTTCTGAAAACATTATTTGCCTGGCTGTATATAGCTCCTACCCAGTACCTTCACTGAGTTCACCGACATGCAGCAAGTGAAAGCCAGAGAAAAGCCTAGATTTTTTAATCTCTATACTTGTTCAAGTAATTCTAAATATTAAGTTTAAGGAAATTACTTTTTGCTTAACAAAGAAAGATCGAGATTTACAAGTCCAAACCATCCAACACTAGTCTTAATCAAAAACATAAATCTACATCAAACTAATCAAGACACAGGAAACAGGTAGTTTTTAAAAATGATGAATATTGTATATTTCAATATGTATTTTGCTGCACATACCGATCTGTAAATGTTCCATATGATGTTTGTTATGTCAGGGTTATGGCTTTCTTTAGTGGCTGATGCTACAACTGGCTCATTCAATGCATCCCTTTTAAGAATAATATCAGAAAGGAGAAACAAACTAAAGGGAAAAATGCCCAGTAAACTTACGATTGCAGCATTTATATGTTCAGTGCTAAAGTAAAATTAAAAAAATAGGATTTTTGTTTTAGCTGTAAAATTATTTTCTTGGAATACATCACATGACACAGGATCAATCTTAAACTACTAGGTTATATGCAGCTACATTTAGGTAATAGGACACTGGCATCAAAGCTGTAAAGACAACCCATAAAACCCCTCCCACTCCCAGCAGGTCTCAGTTTTGTAGCTGAAAAAAAGGAGTGATCAAAAGAACAAAGGAGAGGGACTAGTATCCTGCTATGTATTCTAAGAAAATGATTTTACAAGTAAGAAAGGAAAATCCTATTTTCTTACATACATGTCCATCACAGTATCAGTCTTAGACTACTGGCATGTCCAAAAACAATCCAAATGAGGCATGGGTAGCACAGCAAACAAATGCTAACAGGCCCATATAACAAATGGCTAGAGAGCAACTTGAAACAACCTTGCCTCACAGAGGTGACAGCAATAAAGAAGGCAACCTTGTGAGTAAGGTTCAAGAGTGGAATATTGCTGATGAGTTCAAAGGTCGGTTTCTGAAGGGAAGGGCTGACAGAACCAGGTTGAGATTCAAGGAAGACTGGAGAGCGTTCAGGGGGAATAATGTAAACAACACTCTGCACAAAGTAGTGAAAGACAAGTGGTCTTTGGAAAATAATGGTTAGACCTTGATCCTTGAATGTACCCAAGGCCAAATGATGGTCCAGAATGGGTTGGAGGAGAGATCAGAATTATCATATGAAGTACTTCTTGGAATGAAACTTCCTAGCCTTTGCACCATGCAAATTAGGCCATCCAGGTGTCATGGTAGACATTGTGAGAATTTGACTTTCTAACCCTTTAGGAGCGTAAGAGGACTGAATCAGCCAGGCCTCTGTCCGTAAGTACCTGGGCTTCAACAGCTAAGTTGTTAAAGAGTATTTCCACTTTTGTTGATAAAAAAAATCAATCCTCTCCGGGTGATCTTGTGCACATTACAAGGGTTTTAACAAACATTGTTGCAGTTTCCTACCCGTTTCTGTTCTGATGTAAAAAAAATGTTTGTTGCAGTATGTCCTTTCCAAACTGCATCCCTTTAGTAGTAATCAATAGTAGTATCTCACCAAAAATGAAATTCCTAATGCAAGGGATGACAAAAAATATACGTATATCTTAATGCAGACTTCTGGGAAAATCACAGAAGCAGGAAGTGACATTTCTGGGGGCGTGCCATACACCAACTGTGTTTGAAACACCTCCAGGTTGTCATATTGCATTTAGGTTTTTTTGGGTTTTTTTTGCATTACAGCAGCTATAGTTGTAAATGGAAAGGTTATTTTGAATAACATTAAATTGGAAAGGAAATTATGACCCCTTCAGAGAGGAGCTGCTACGGTAGAGATCTGTCAGCCTTTGTGGCTGATTTGACAGCATGTGTGGTGGAGGCATAGCCCAAATCTATAGTTCACAGCCCCTGGACACAATGTTCTGGACACAGGCATCTTGGGACCAGATGGCAGCAAACCCCCCACTTTGACAAGTGAGGGTGCACCTTCACTGAAAAGAGGGCTTGTTTCCAGACTTGGTGGGCTTGGGGGTTCAGGTCTTATGGTGGAACTACATTCCTAGCTTGGGCTTGCATCCTGTGGGAAACAAAAAGAGCTCTTCTTGGTCTCTGGGGCCAACTGCTTACCTGCAGAAGCTTCTGCCTTCTTATTCTGGGGTATATGGTAACTCTTTCCCACACATGACTCCCTAATGCAAGTGTCCAAGGAGTCACCAAAGAGGAGTTGCCTGACCCTTCATGGTGCACCTCTAGGACAGAAGTCCTGCAGACCAATATTTGAGTCAAAAAATACTATGCATACATACTAACAGGAGGCTTATCCTGGATATTCGGCAGCGTGCCTAATACATCTACGCACTGGGCAGGACTACAGTTGCCAGCTCTATCTGTTGAAGAACAGATGGATCAATCAAAATTGATCTGGGTTCCCTGTCCATATTTTTTGGACCAGACACTTAACAACTTCGCTCACTAGTCTTAGCAACTGAAAAACAGATTGGAGCCCATAAGCTAACAGCTCCTTAACTGTAAAATAATGTAAAGGACAAAACTTTACAGGTAAGCCTTACGACCTTAAGATTTTATTGCTGCTTGTGTTGCCAGCAGGCAAAATTCACCCTCTCTATTTGTCATGGCGACTAATGTCTTAAAGTTGTCACCGGAAAAAGAGGTGAGGAGAAATCTTATAATGGGGCAAAAGTTATGGCAACAACTATTGATTATGGGAATTCCCCTCACTTTGGGGACATTTACTCTAATTTTCTGTAGTCTCTCCAGGAAATGAATGAACATATTCCTAGTGGGACAAAGACAACAAGAATAGCCTAAGTTTTACTCTTTCCTATTCTATCCAAAAGTAAAACAAAAGGTTTTGGCAATACATACTCTAGCAATTTAGGATCTCAAAGAAGCACTGCCATGGACATTACTAGGGATGCACCAAAATTTCGGCCCCCAAAACATATTGGCTGAAAATGGCAGTTTGGGCAAAATGCAGAAAATGCCATCTTTCGGCCGAAATTGCGGTACATGTCTAGTTTCCCTCCTCCCTGCTGGGCGCTGCTCTGTGACCCCTCTAACACAGCACAGCATCCAGCGAGGAGGAGAGAAACTGTCAGGAGGCAGAGCAGGGTGGGGAAGAGAGCGCTTTTATCGTCCATGTCACATGAGGCTGAGCTCTCCTCCAACACCGCTCAGCCTCCTGTGACCAATCAGGATGGAGAGCCGTGTGTGGGCAGAGACAACTGTCACAGGAGGCTGAGCCAGCGGTGAGGGGGAGGAGTCAGCTGTCAAATGAGACTGAGCTCTCTTCCCCGCACCGCCTGCTCAGCATCCTGTGACAGTCGATCCAGGATGGAGAACAGTATATCGCTGAATGTTTGTAAATAACTGGACATAGTATGAGTTACTAAGTACCGGTTATGAATGAATAGGAAGTGATCTACATCACTTCCCATTCATTCATGATTGTTTACATAGTAATTCATACTATAGCCACAAGTTATGAATTAACAGGAACACTCAGTATAGATGATTCCTGTTCAGTGCTGGGGCTGCAGAAAAAGAGACTGAGGACTCCGTCTTCAATCTCTTTTACTATTGTAAAATGAAAATATCAGGGGTCTGTTTAGATGCCTGATATTTCACCAAAGCCCATAGCAGTAAAGTAAAGATTAAAAATAAATAATAATAAAAATAAATTAAATATAAAAAAATTAAAGGTTCAGAGAAAAATAAATAAAAATAAAATATATATATTTTTAAAAAGGTTAGAACAAAAAATTTCGGTTTTGGTCTGACATTTTTTTTAAATTTTAGGTTTTGGTCTCAAAATTTCATTTTGGTGCACCTCTAGACATTACCATTCACAACGGTAATGTTGCATCACACAAAATAACAAATTCTTGTCATGCAGAATGTCATTGTAAATGGCCAGCTTGAATGTCGCTTCAAGGTTCCTGCAAATACCCATAATCCACTAAGGACACCTTCAGTGAAAACACTATATCCAAAATATCAACGATATTTAGGAAGCTAGATTTATGTGAAATTCTTGACTTTTCCTGTAAAAACTTACAAAAACCTTTGCTTCCTTCACTGAAGCCATCCATCACATTCAATGATCAATGGGAAGCACAAAGCCAAATTGCACTTTCAAAGAGACTTGAGCTTTAATACAATTTTAATTGCCTATAACTACTGATTGTTTTGATAGTCATTCTTCATTGAACATTTGCTTATGCATTTTATTAATTCTGTTAAGCTTGAATTGCACATATTTACAACAAGTTTACTTTTGCGCACTGGCCAATTGTGACCTTTATTTCATACCTGGGATGCAAGTAATTCATGTTTTCTTCAGACTGCAATTCTGTTTTATTCCATCATACTAGATAAAACAATGCCCTGTATTCCTCAGGTTTCTTGTCTGGTTGAAAAGTCTCCCACAATGTTACAGATGCTGCAATGTTTACTTTCTCCCAGTCTGAAAGGTCTGGAGTTTGCCAGGCAGAAGGGAAATGGATTAAGCAGTCTGTAGGTCATTATGTGCTGTTAGAGTGTTGTGCTGTTCCTGCTCTGCCAATATGACAGGAGATTTCCACATACTTTGTGACTTTGTGATGTAAATTAGCCATGTGCAATGTACGCTGCAGGGTACTCCAACTTCTCCGACATCACACAAATACTGAGATGCCTTCGGTTCACCGCACCATAGAAAAAAAAGCTTTTATAACACAGAAGGGTGTTTCACTAAACACTTTTAGTACTTTTCTTTAAGATGCTCTTTTTTCCAAAAATATACTGTACTTGCTGGAATATCTTGCTTTGAAAGGTCTGCTATTTTACCAAATATAAGAAAGTTGATTTACTACAGTCAAATTTATATTATTTGAAGTTAAAGGAGAACTATGAGATGAGTGATTTTCACTCTACCTCATAGTTCGAGCCGACGTGTGACAATTAAACTGTCACACGCCGGCTCAATAGATCGGGAAGTGAGCGAACACATACCGTCGCTCGCTCACTTCTCGATCATCTCCCTGCAGAGAGCCGTGGCTGTCACTCACGGCTCCCTGCAGGATTTCACCCCCTCCCCGCTCTGATCCTCCAGCGCTGACTCCTTTAATGAACACAGGGTAGGGTAAACATTGCCTCTTTTGTACGTGAGCCCTGATGGGGTTTATCATAGTAAGATTCCAATATGCTAACAGATGTAAAGATTACCAGTATGATTCATTTACCACCACTAACTCCTGTACAAAGTGTAAAACAAGGGTAAGTTACATGCAATGGTATGTTTTGCATTTTTGCTTTTAAGGATAACCAATGTTACAAGGTCACAACTAAAAATGTTGCATAGCTCCTCACAAAGTAGAAAAAGCACCCATAAAAGTGTTTCTAAAGCTAAACTTTTTTTGTAAGAAAACTTGAACAGAAGCCAGTGTAATTTCTCTAGCAGAAGGCATTTGACTGTTATTAAGGCAATGTCATGCCAGTGCCAAAAAAAAGCTGCACCAAGCAATGGTAGAACTACCACCAAAGTGGCTCACACTTCTCCCTCCTGATATAATGTAGTCTCCCCAGCGACTTCAAACCCAAGTTCACCTTTATTCACATTTTCTGTCTAATATCATTTCTGAGGATTATTTATCTTCTCGATTAAAGCATCAATCTTCTGACGAAGCCCCGGTGGGGGTGAAACGTGTCAAGACCTGGTGTGGATGGCCTCGGCTACAGACACCCCTCGTGGAAGTTCATAACTCCTTCCCAGGCCAAATATCTATCCGGAATATCTCCAATCGGCCACTTGAATTGTTTTTATGGCTGTTATTTGGGCTTGATCGGCTCACAACTGAAGCCCAAGGATATCTTCATTGGCATTTACTATGGATACCTATTGACGCAAGGTCTGCTAGAGAGAAAGCTTCCGGTCTGCGGCCGCACTCACAAATTGGAGGCGAATTAACGCTCCACATTTCGATACCGGATACCATTCCAGGAAAACAAACATAATTTAATGTTCCCCTGTTAAGACGGTTTCAAGTCTGTTTATCTACCTGTACTACAATATTTCTTCGGAAAATCCTGGGTGGATAATCAAACAGCATAATTGTGAGTGCTACTGTTTATATTTCCTTTGACAAGGGTTGATCCATATCATTGAATTTCCTCGTATGCATACCGCACGTTCAAGCCGTGTTTCGGTCTAAACAAAAATAGGATTTTCCATCTCGGAGACATTATATTTATTCATTCATTTTTTTTCTTTTGCTCTGGACTAACATTCATTGAAGGGGTATACCGACCATTGTGTCTATTTCAGCTGCATTATACACATTCTAGTCGAGTGCCATCTTATTACATAGTATTTTGTATTTGTGTAACTTGTGTGTCCTTTATATTGATTAGATACATTTAAATTTATATAATAAACAAATAACTTTTAATTACATTGTCGCATATTTGAAATGGTGGTGGGATCTCCTTGATTGGGGATCTGCATTATCTGTGTTCTATAAAGCATCAATCCACACCAAGTAGATTACCTCATAGATTCTTACGTCTCTCAGAGCCTCCAGTGATAGGTTCCAGTCTAGACAAGTGTTTCTCAACTTTTTTTCAGTCATGGCACCCTTCAAAAGTATGCACAATCTTGAGACACCCCAGTTAAAAAAAAAAGTAAAAGAAAATGTAAAAAATGACATGTGGCCCCTCCAAAACCCATACCAGACCCTTGACTGAGATAGGGTCTGGTATCGATTTTAAGGCGGAAACCCATCCAGAAACACAAAAAAGTGGGGTTCCCTCCTTCACGCCAGAGTCCCCCTTCAAATTAGGAGCCCCTCATCACATCAGAGAACCCCCTCTCACATTAGAATTCCCCCTTTTAACATCAGAGTCCCTCTTAATATTAGGAGCTCCCTTGCTTTCAATTGGAGAACCCTCCCACCGCCACACTAGGAGTCCCCTTCACATCAGTATCCTCAGTCCCCCATCACATCAGCCTCCTACCATTGCATCAGGAACCATTACAGCTGGAGGTGGAGCAGGACTGAATGGAGGTGAACATTTGTCCTTTAGTGAATGGATCCCACCCTCCCTCGATTATCACAAATTATTTCCATGGTGCTGGTGGCTGGGCTGGGGTGCGTGCACCATGGAAAGACATGACACTATATGAAAATTTCAAGGCGCCCCTTAGGAAGCCAGAAGGCACCCAGAGAAAGTTTGGTCTACACAACTGTCTTTGTGGTAATGAAGGTCCCCCACTGCCTGATGGATGTAAGAAGAACATATGAGTCCACTGAAAACATCTATGATTGCACTGTTTACCACAGTAAGGTGGAGTGAAGAAGTGAATGTACTGTTTGTGCTTACTGCTATTTATATATTGAACTACAAATCAAACACCATACTTGTGATGGACACGTTGATACATTTTACTAAACATGCGTATACTAAAAGGGTCGTCTTGAAACCATATGATAAATATTATTTAATTCAACAGGTAAGTTTCTTACCTTCCCCTTGTTGTTCTTTGCAAAATCTTCAGTCCAGAGAAGCAACAAGATTTGCCTTCAAACATTTGGCTGTATTTTTGTATATCTTCTATAGCAGTGTGTGTTAACTGTACTTGAAGTTCACTAAATATCCCATAAGCATCCTGGATTAGAAGATATAACCTGAAAAACAAAAGAGAAAAAGCTATGTGTCAGCCAAACAGAACATGTGTAAATTGCCCTTAATAGAACCAAAACTGATCGACTTTCACAGACCAGTCCAATATATATACTAATTATTAGCCCAAAATCATCAATTAAACTAAAGAGCTTATTTAAAAAATCAGAGGAAATTTAGCATATTCTTACATTTGGGGAAATTATTAACTGCCTGAGAATGGATTTTCTTATTCACTTGCTCATTCGCCAGATATGTATCTGGCAAAAGAGCAAGTGA